CGATGGCCTGCACCCTAGTAGCGATGGCCTCCAACCTACAAGCAATGTTTCCACCCTAGTAGCGAGGGCCTCGAACCGACAAGCGATGGCCTCCACCCTAGTAACGATGGCCTCCAACCTACAAGCAATGGCCTCCACCCTAATAATAGTAGCCATGGTCTCCAACCATCTCTCCAACCTACTATCGATGGCCTCCACCCTAGTAGCGATGGCCTCCTACCTAGTAGCGATGATGTCCTCCACCCTACTAGCGATGGCCGCAATGGCCTCCAATCTACTAGCGATGGCCTCCACCCTGGTAGCGATGGCCTCCAATCTAACAGCGATTTTTTTGGTTTTTGTTTTTCCATGGTGTTTCCGTCTTCCCACTTGCATACGAACTCAGGTACCACAGGCCGGAGCTGTAAACATTGACACAGACACAAATCACGCTCAAATGCCAACACAGGCAAAGAACAATATGATAACTTTCTACTTGTGGCTGGTCCTCATACAACAGCTCCAGTCTAAAACCCCTTAGTGGCAGTGCTTGTTCTTTCATGAGTCAATTTGCCTAAAAAGCTGACTCTCCAGTGAGAGTCACATGAAGATGCGAAGGCCAGAGCTCAGCATCTCAACGAACAGAGAGCACCTTGGATGGTTCAGACACGGAAAGCATTGGCTTCATGAATGGTAGAGACACATACAGATCCTACTTGTGTTGTGCCATGTTGTGCCTCAAGGATGTTAGGCAGCAAGAACCATGCAAACTCTTGTCAACACCTGGAAGTCGTGGGGTACCTGACTTCAATCCAAAATTGTTCTGTACATGCACTCATTCTTGTTTGGGAATGAACTATGCAGGACGCCTTTTGCAGATGGGATGCACATTTGAAACCCATAGGCATTGCCAGGTTTTTTGAATCCTTTTGCTCGTAAAGCCCACTTCCAAAGCCCCGAGAGGTGCGCTTACCAGGCTCCACAATCCTCCAATAGAAGTAATCACACCAAAGAGCTAGCTTTGGAGCTCTCCAAGCATGCACCGGCAAACCGTAATTTTGAGGCTGCAAGATTCTGGAGTGAATTCTATGTCGACGAGGTAGCCGAGAACGTCAGTGCACACCGTAGGTTAGGGACAGGTTCAATATACTGCAAGTATTGAGCGCGTTCACCGCATTTTTCACTTCAGAGTGTTCAGTTTCTCATTGTCAGTGTTTGATAAGCAGTTGTTCAGGATGTCACAGTTTTTGCTCATTTTCCTTGCCACTCCGCTGTGAGTGTGTCTTTTCACTTCTTTAGTGATGGAGAGACTTGTTGGTTTCAGACTAGCCAGATGAATTCACAACAACAAGAAATCATTCGCATTGTTGGCCGCTTCACCACGTTCAGGGAATGATTGAACAACCCCCCTTGCGTGCAGGGGAGCTTATCTCCGATACTGGAAGCCTTGAGACCGCAGGCAGGAAGATGATGGCAGCAAAGAACTTGTTCAAAACACTTAAGAAAAAGGCCGCTCTGCCCCCCTACCTAGAAGCGATGGCCTCCAACCTAGAAGTGATGGCCTCCATTTCCCTGCATCCAAGACGTGTAAGAGCCATTGCGATCCATGCGAGCGCTCTTCAAAGAAGCAGCAACCGTCAGGGAGCCATGCCCCTGGTTGACTGCACTGCAGCAATAAAGGTTGTCTAACTGGATAAGCAGCCGCTCTTGGTCGTGACATTTCTGGATTGCAAACCAACTTGTTCCCCTTTGCCTCGGCTAGACATACTGTCGTTCCTTCGATGACGTCGTGGCGCAGCAATGACAATTTTGCAAAATTAATGAGCATGTTGTGAACCCCGCTGATACCCCAGCTCTCCCTCCACCATCCTCCACCCCAATTTGTTAAGGATCAAACGACTCTTCGATAATTACTGACAATGTTGTGTTGGCAGTCTTGCGAACTCGACGACGACAATGTTGTAACATTGTTGAATTGTTGACAATTTTTTGTAGTGGAATGGATGATGATGATGATGATGATGGTGATGGTGATGGTGATGCTGATGCTGATGGTGATGGTGATGGTGATGGTGATGATGAGGAGGAGGAGGACGACGACGACGATGATGATGATATGGATGAACTTGGCAATGCTTTGCAGCGTAGCATAAAGCATCATAAAGCACTGCGGGCAGTGACAGGTCACCGGGGAGAGCCACAAAGAACTGTTGCCTGTGAAGTGAAGTCTGGAAGAGGCTTTTCATGGCGTTCCTTTTTTTGAACACAGTATGTCAGGGTCGTCACTTAGGGATTCTTACGGTAGTGGTAAAGCAGCTGATGCTTAGATCGCTGAAGCGCGCGGGCGTGGACGGCCAACTCGCTGCTATTTACAGCACATTCATACCTCTCGAAATCGTCCACATGCAAATCTGGGTGGCCGCGACGGGAGCTTCTAGCGACTGCGCTCTCGTTGTGGTGCCGTGCGCATCTTCGCACATGGTGCTCACTTTTCGTGGCAGGCGCAAGGGAAACCTCGTGTTTTGGTGGTCCAAAGTCAACTTTTCGTGACAGGTGCAAGGGATCGGAGCGGTTTTACTTCCAAGTGCAGATTTCGTGGCAGGTGCAGCATTTGGACATGGTGGTGATCGCTGATTTCGTGACAGGTGCAGTGAATCGTAGCTTTTCGACATGTGGCTCGTTTGTAGACTTCGTGGCAGGTACAGCACTTTGTGAACCTCGACGTGCAGAGTTCGTGACAGGCACAGCATTTTGTGAACCTCGATGTGCAGATTTCGTGACATGCACAGCACACTTTGTTGACCTCGAAGTGCATATTTTATGGCAGGCACAGGGCTTGGTGAACCTCGAAGTACAGATTTCGTGGCAGGTACAGCACTTGGTGAACCTCGAAGTGCAGATTTTGCAGCAGGCGCAGCGCTTGGTGAACCTCAAAGTGAAGATTTTGTGGCAGGCGCAGTACTTTGCGAACCTCGAAGTGCAGCGTGACAGGCGCAGCGCTTGGTGAACCTCGAAGTGCAGATTTTGTAGTGCAGATTTTTTGGCAGGCAAAGCGCTTGACTTGGTGAACCTCCAAGTGCAGATTTCGTCGCAGGCGCAGTACTTTGTGAACCCCGAAGCGCAGCCCACCCACTCACTCACTCACTCACTGACTCACCCACGCACTCACTCACTCACTCTCACTCACTCACTCACTCACTCACTCATCACTCTTCACTCTCACTCACTCACTCATCACTCTCACGCACACTCACACTCTCATTCTCATTCTCACTCTCACTCGCACTCACACTCACACAGTCACAGTCACAGTCACAGTCACACTCACCACCACCACCACCATCATCACCACGACCTCCACCTTCATCACCACCATTGCCTCTCGACCTCACACACACTGTTTGGGGTCTCTGGCCGGGATAATCATGTTTGTCAAAGTTGTGCTTTAGGGCGGTGACGCAAGTAATTTGGTAGTAAGTTTGAGTTGCAACACTGAGACATTCAGCAATGCACTTAAGAGTTCAAGTACAAAGAAAAGAAAAGATAAGATAAGAATGTTAAGTTAAAATAAGTTGGAACTGAAACACTGAGAACATCGATGCACTTAGAACTTAAAGTAGTGAGAGTACAAAAATGGAGTTGACAGTTGAATAAGATCGACGCACATAATGTAAATACTCTTCCAGACCTACAAAGTCTTGTTACAGTCTTCACTTGTGACCCACAAAATCTCAATTCTTGGACATTGTTTGTCCATTTTCGCATGTATGTATGGATCCACCGTTCGACGAGACTGGAGGAATTGTTGTCCGGTACCCAATCAATCACGTTTGAAAAACATAGGGATAAGCAACCACCTGTTGTGACGAGACCAAAACTAACAATGAATCATCGCTTCGCTCCACAAGATAGAAAAAGGACACGATCCAGTACACAAACATTCCGTGGCCCAAGCCACAAGTTGTAGGATGAGAGTCAAATAGTCATCCAATAGGTAAAGGCAGAAACATGTAAGTTCACTGTTCCTGTGATTGACATGGCTGGTGGTGTCGTTTTGCCCGGAAAAACATATGCCATATGGCATAATAATGGTTTCACGGTCTTTTGTTTTGGGCGTGGTTAACACTCGTTCGCTACCTGGGTGTTCACACAAAGGCACTGTGACACATGAAACATGTTTGAACGTATCCTCCTTAAAACTATGGGCGCTGTGGTATACAGCAGAATGGTTCACAGGGTTCACAGGCTTCCCCCTTCTAGGGGGTTGCGCCGTGGTGTTATAGAGATTGTAGTCGTGTGCATTGCGTATTTGTCAATTCATGTCAATTTTGTTTGTTTGTTCATAGCTCGAAGACAGAAGCGTCAAACATGTGTTTATTGTACATTTCTGTCTATGCCTCTATGCCCTCATTGGATCCTCTATGCCCTTAAGCAATAACAAATTTTGGGAAACTGAAGGATGTATGGGCATGTATGGGCTACAAGAATCATTGTGGGTTCTTTTTGCATAGGAATATACATAGCCTTTTCATGCCATTGCTGGGCATTGGAATAACAATCTGACGTGCGGGTAGTTGAAATTGGGGTGCTGCATCCCCCTCCAAACTCCAAACCCTCCAAACCTTTAAATAGGGAAAAACACCTGCAATAACTCTGCACAGCAAATTTTTGTGCCTAAGAAATCCAACAAACTGGTTTCGTCGACACTCATGCAAGCATGACATGTTGCACACTTGGCACATACTTATCAACTCAACGACCCAAAGACACCCTCAAAAATGATATGTTTGAAAAATCTCTGCAGAGGCACATTTGTCACTTGGAGGACTACAGTTTCATTGTGGCCAGTACGTGAACGCATTGATCAAACTGTGATCCTAGCGCTGCAGGCGCCTGGAGATCTGCTGCTTGGCAACTTCCAAGTTGAAGGCATTTGTGGTGGCCCTCCATACGAACTCAGCAAGACTCCCCAGATCGAGGCCTGAAGATTGATCAGTGCGAAGATTCCGAAGGGATTGCTGTCCAAAGTCTCATTCTCATCGAGTTTCACAGGCAGCAAACACCAGCAAACCCAGTTTTTGGACCAAAGATTCAGATGCCTTCTCATCAGAACAAAGACCATTTACTGGATGTCCCGTAGTGCAAAGTGTAGTCCGAAAGCGCAGTAAGCGTTGATATGATGTTTGACATGACTGCTTTACAAACCACAAACACCCAAGACTCTAAGACCCTAAGAGCCTGCAGTGCAGCTCTGCCAGGACTTGATGGGAGTGAGGTGCCGGAATTGTGGGTCGCGCTATGACTTTCAGACAGGTATGCGTTGGTGGCGCGCTTCAAGAGGCCGCATCGAGACAAACGCAGCCGCAGATTCTTTTGGTGTTGATTCCGAAGTTGTTGATGTACAGTCACCGCAATGACAAGTGGTGATATCAACACTTACCAGGAACCTTGCTCATTGTGAAACTTGAGCGTTGGATTTTCCCATATTCTGTCAGTGGGGAACCAAAGACCAGACCTGGATGGAGGTTTCCTTTGTTTCCTACCTGGCCAACCTCTTGAGGTGAGGGAGAGCCCCCTTGGACTCAAAGGCGAATCGAGGCGCTGCTAGACAGGGGGACGGGTGAGTTGGCGACTTGAAAAAGCAGAAGAGATGAAAGGGCTAACGCTTTGGAAGGAAAGGAACCGAAAGACATCAAAAGACTCTTGGAAAATCTTGGAAATGTATTTCAGTACTAAGCTTGAAAAGGATGCATTGTTTGCAGTGGAAAAGGCATGGACTTCTTCAATGATTCAAGGTAGGGTCCATAGTTCACGACTCCATAGAAGCTTTGCTTGTATATAAAGGTGTTGTTCAATTCGGTCGTTGTTAGCTAGTCAGCTAGTTGTTTGTTCTTTTTCTATGTTGATAGGCCTCATCACTCACCACTCACTACAGTGACTGCAGCCAAGCCCTTCAGTGCTTACACAACAAGGTTCCGTAGCTAAGGGTCGAGATTGAAATGAACAGTCCCGAATGCTTGTGAAACACCAACCGATGGGTTTCGGCTTGACGCGTCAGTTGGGCAGACTACAGTAGACTACAACACAAATGTTGGCAGTGAGAGAGAGCACTCAGAGATACTGAGAGCACTATATATTTCTTATTTGAGCTCTGACAAAGAGGTTTCTTGAATAATACCCCATGCTAAGCGAATGCCATGACAAGACTTCAGAAAGACTTGCACCTCCCACCTCATGGGCCGTTGCTGCCTCTTGGGCGTTCAATGGCGAGCGCATCGACCACAGCAGAGTTTTCGGAATTCAATGCCAACGTCAGGAGCTTAGGAAAGTACTCTCTGAGGTTGGAGGCCATCGCTACTAAGTACAAAAGTGCTCGAGTTCATACGTTTTACATTTCAGCGAAAGAACGTGCTAGGAAGCCCTCTGAAACTTGAAACTTCCCTAGCTCCGCGGAAAGTGTCAATATGTGTCAATGCCTGTAAGGAACATATTTATATTAAAACAAATGCCCGCCAGTCTATAGTTTGCAAGGATCCTGCATGTTGTTTTGACCAGAAAAGGTAAAATCAAGAAAATTGCATTGTATTTGTAACCCACCCAGAGCTGTGATGATAGCCACTGAAATGATAGCACATGTGGGACCATTCAGATTTTCCAAGCATATTAATTGGTCGATGTGACAACTCTGCCCGAACTCGCGAGCTGCGCATGCTACTGATTGAAGCAATATGAAGCAATCAAGAACGACACTAAAGAATGGCAACTGGCCAATTAATTTGCAACATGACATGGGCTCACTCACCTGATTCTGACCAAGCCTCAAATCGTCTTTCATTCTTCCGAATTCTTCCCATTTCTGTACAGGCGGTGTTGGAGATCTTTGAACGCTGGGATGAGGACCGCCAATGCATTTTTGTGACGCATTTTCTGCGTTTTCGTCCCAGATCTGGCTTCACGGCTCAAAGATCCTGGAAGGACCATAGTGGCTACATTGACCGGTACGAGTTGTCGAGGATCATGTACAAGGCCGGCGAGAGCGAGTGGAGCAAGTTGTTCACTGAGGAGGTACTCCACCGGGACAAAATTGTATTTGTGACCCTTAGCAGATTAGCAGACATCCCTTGGCATCCATGTTTTGCAATCTTCTTTGTCAACTGCGAGTGCCCAATTTCCAATTGTCAGAGCCTGACAGATTCCAACTATTTGGAGGTCATTGCAAATAGACCTGCTCAAGGATTTGCAAATGCATGCAAATGCAATGTAAGTGCTGGTTGCAAGAAACGCGACCAGAATATTCCATGTAAAGAGAGAAGCACGAAAGGGTTCATTTTTACATGTGTTGAATGCATCCGGGGATATGTGCGGCAAGGTCTCACCTTCCTTGAGCATGGACCAGAAGCTGGCTTGCACCAGAGGGGAAGGGCATGAGAAGATTGAACGATTGAGTTTCTGGATTTGTGTCGGTCTGGAGGTTTGATACAGGCATCGTGATCACTTGACCTCTTGAAGCTGAGTGGATTGGTAAAGTTATAGCACCATCAATGTACGGATATACATATGAGCCACGGTCAAAACATGCGAAGACCACTTTAGTAAAGAGGGGTAGGTTTGTGCACAAAACCCTGCAAAACGATAAGGTCCACCTCAAAACCGATAACCCCAGCGCTGTATATGATCATAAGTATGCGACGAACTCAAAACACTGTAAAACGATAAGGTCCGACTCAAAACCGATGACGTCCATTTTTTGTTGAAGAAGAATAAGGAGTTTTGACCGTCCCTCATATATATGTATATATTTCCTCCAAACTGCCCATGGCATTTGTGGTGACTTTGATTTCGTTGCATGGAAATGAACACTTCCATATTTGTCGCATGACCTGAGATTTGATGGTGTGGTGCATTCATGGGAAGCCTGTAACAAGCTAACACTCAAGACGCCGAGACGCCTGCATTTGTTTAACTTCATGAAGCCATACTCCTTCTTTTTGGCTCTGTATACTAATTATATATAGTATTCCAGAAAGAAGGCAACAATTTTGGGCCGTGTTGTGCGCTTCATCATGAGATGGACATTTCCTGAACTTTCCTGGAATAGCCTGGAAAACTAGGATCGATACTCTTCTTGGTTGCATCGACACCAACCTCGATGGAGCGCCTCGTTCATTTTCAGAGGCCTTCAAGACCGCGTGCTTATATATGTGTGTGTTTCACCATGTTTTACCTGAGACTCTGAGACTTGCAGAGAATGACTGTAGGCCACACAGGGCGGAATGGCGGAATGGGAGGAATATCAGTCTGAAGTTTTTGGATGGATCGATTTGGATATTGTTCCGACACGTTCCTCACCAGGTTGACTTGACTCTCGAACCAGGTCTTGGGGTCTTCACACTGAGGTCGTCGACTACAAAGAGTTTGTAGCCTGGCTCACGAACCGATCAGCTCAGTACACTGTGGGAACGGACGGCTGGATCTCACCCTTCGATTTGAAGACCATGTGACTTGGCAGACTCGAGCGGGATCGGTTTCTCATGGCTTGTCCGGTCGATCTGCAAGAAATATTGAAGCCGAACGACTCATGAAAGCGGTTTTTCTTGTTGTTGAAGGTAATTGGTATATACTTATCACTATGTAATGATTGAACATTTTATTTCATGTACATAACTCATTGGCTTGGAGACGACTCGACGACCAGGCTAAGCCTCTTTTCGAGATGTGGGACAAGGATGGCAGTGGTCATATCACGAGGCAAGGAAGCAGCCAAAACAAGGGGATCCACACCGTTGTTGTGCGAACTTTGGAGTATATACCACGATTTGATGGAGCCTGCGCAACTTGCGCCGAGCCAAACCTGAATGTTTGCAGCATGAAATCCATTTGTTTGACCAGCATATTGGATTTTTAGTATGCTGCCATGTGCAACAGCAGGCTTAGCTCTTCAAACCATTTATATATATATATATACAGTAATATATAGATACTGATACATATAGAGACACTTTACAGCTTTTTCAGGGTGTGTAGGGCAACGAAAAGGTTTGTGAAACCTCTCCATGGATCGTTTGCTGTCGATTGTTTGCGAAGCACAGGGACGAGTTTTACGAGATCGCTCAGATCCTTAGCAACTCTCTTCGAAGCTTATTTCAATTCATCAGCGCAAGTTTCCATTGCGATGAGGAAGCAATGAGATCTTGAATGGAAGTGCAGTGTAATTTCTAGTCATACTTTGCAAGAATGAATTCTAATTAACTACGTGTTTGTCTCTTCATGTTTTTAGAAGCAATGTGTATGTGAAAAAGGACCAGCCGCATAGCCCTATGACACTTCATCACGGCCAGCCAAGGACTCCACCCATTAGCTTTTTGGATGCAAGCTAACTTCAGCAGTCAGCAGGTGATAGCTGTATGACTCAGTTAAGGTCAGCAACATTGTGAAGCTTATGATTAGTGTCTCACTTTCTCCAACTGACAGGTTGACCTTATGCAATACCATGCAATATGTTTGTTGCTTCGCACATCGTGCCTTGTGACTCTCACAAGCGTGTCCCAGGCCAAGGGTGACTCTCTGGTGGTGGCTGGAGCCTTAAAAAGTTGCCAATGACAAGACATGACATCACATGGCAAGCAATTAGCCTTTTTTCAACTAGATTCTGGAGCTGAAGCCTAGATGCAATGCCATGAGGACTTTGAAGTGAAAGAGTTTGTCTCCTTGGATGAATTTGTCGGGTCTGACACTGAGCCGAGTTGTGCAAATGCACAAGGTTCTGCTTCTAGAATTAGATGAGCAGTTTGCACATCCATAGTGCCTGCTATGATTTTTAGCGCAACGACTCAAACCAGTAGGCTCGGCTTCAACCTGCAACAACACTTTGAAGAAGGAAACTACGTCAATGACCCAGGTGGCAGGTGGGTGTCCTGCAGCGATCTGGAGTCCCTAACAACAAAGTGCCTGACTTGGTGAACACTCTGGTGGCAGCTTGGCAAGCATTGTGCTAGCGATGCTAAGCATGATTGTGGGAGGATGTGAGAACGAAAAACGTTTGTTTTCACTGTAATGACTGGCAAAATCAGGTGGACAGATGTGGAGGTCTTTGGATGTTGATTTGAATTCTAGATGAGATGTGATTGGTATTCATATAAACCAAGCAGCTGCAGATTTGTGTTTGGGGCCTCCTTGCTACTGTGAGTCAATCCATACTTGTGGGGCAGACTGGATGGATGCTACGCCATCATTGACTAAGGACGCCTTGAAATGCATTTTTGAAATCGAGCAGCTGGAAAGTAAGGCTAGCGGGCACGGCAAAGTTTAGCTTTGACTTTGATTCATTCTGCTTTGGAAATGTTTGTTGGTTTGTGTGTGTGTGGCAGGTCTAGAAAGTGCAACATTCCAAACGATAACATGTTAGTCTGTTACTAGGTGTTTGGTCACAGACAAATGGCGCAAGCACTACCTATTCCCTCTCTATTCCTTATCCGTTTCAAGACAACAGCATTAAATGTAGATGTTGTTCAAACGTCCAAACAAAGTAACATCAAAGACATCCAAATTATGAAGCGAGTGCTAGAGTTCTGATAGACAAAATCCACACTTTCGACTCG